AGCAGGTTGATGCTGGGGTGGCCGTGAGTGTGCCACTGCACTCCAGCCTGGGCAATGGAGTGAGACTCCAACTAAAATAATAATAATAATAATAATAATTTTTCCTTGCATTTGAATTTCCATTTCACTAGCCCTACTAAGTTTTATCCTAATACTAAAGATTTTTATATTTGATAGCCTTACACTATTGAGCCTATAATATATTAGGCATAAGGACTAAGAAGTCTTATTTACATAGTTATACATCTTAATTATGATTTTTTAAAATAAAATTTTTAATTTCTTCTAAGTTATTTGACAAAAATTATTAGTGATCTGTTACCAGTCTTTACTAAAAACCAATTTTATTGAGAGAGAATTCACATATCATACAAATCACCCATTTAGAGAGTCTACAATTCAGTGGTTTTTATACACTTGGAGTTGTACAACCATTATCACAGTCAATTTTGGAACAATTTCATCACCCCCAAAGGAAGCCTTGTAATGGCTTTCCATTACCCCTCAAACCCCAGGCCTGCAGGAAATCACCAGTCTACTTTCTGTCTCTATGGATTTGCCTATTCTGGACATTTTATATGCATGGAACCATATAATATGTGGTATTTTGGTACTGACCTCTTAGCATAATGTTTTCAAGGTTCATTCATGTTTTGGCATGTGTCAGAACTTCATTTCTTTTTAGTTGCTATTCCATTATATGACAATACCAAATTGTGTATGGACACACACACACACACACACACACACACACACACTCACTCACGCTCACACCACTGTTTGTTTGTTTGTTTATTATAGATTCGGGGGGGTATACATGTGTGTTAGTTACATTGAATAATATCACAATTTGTATATCCAGTTGATTGAGATTTATTTAGGTTGTTTTCACTTTTTGACTGTTGTAATGCCTGCTAATGAACAATGTATACAGGTTTTTGAGTGGTCATATATTTTCATTTTTAAAAATATTTACCCAGGTGTGCAGTTGCTGAGACATATGGTAACTATGTTTAACCTCTTGAGGAGCTGCCACGCCATTTTCCAAAGTTTCCACCATTTTCCAGCCACCAGTATTTCACAAGGATTCCAGTTTCTCCAGATCTTCTTTAATACTTGTTATTGTCTGTGTTCTTTTGTTATAGCCATCCTAGCAGGTGTGATGTGGTATCTCATTGTGGTTTTGTCATTAATCATTTTTTCTTTAATACTCTTTAAAATTTTAGAACAGTTTTAGGCTTTCAAAACAAATTTCATATATTATAAAGGAAGTACAGAGAATTCCCATATGCCCTGATATTTTCCTTTATTAACATTGAACATCAGGATCATTTGTTATAATTAGTTATATTTGTTATAGTTAATGAATCACTACTATTACTAATTAAAATCCATACTCTTTCACATTTTCTTTGTTTTTACCTGTCATTTTTTGCACCATGATTTCACGTCTGATACCACGTTATATTTGATACTAGTCATGTCCCCTTTGGCAACTCTTGACTGTGACTTTTCTTGTTTTTGATGACAGTGATAGTTTTTATGGGTACTGATCAAGTATTTTGTACAATGTCCCCCAACTGGGATTTTTCTGATGTTTTTCTCTTAATTAGATTGGGGTTATAAGTTGAAGAAGAAAGACAACAAGGCTGGGCATGATGGCTCACGCCTATAATCCCAGTACTTTGGGAGGCTGAGGTGAGAGGACTGCCTGAGCCCACGGGTTCAAGAACAGCCTGGGCAACTTGGCGAGACCTCATCTCAACAATAAATCAAGAAATTAGCCAGGTGTGGTGGCACGTGCCTGTAGTTCCAGCAACTTAGAAGGCTGAGGCAGAAGAATCACCTGAGCCTAGCAGGTCGAGGCTGTGGTGACCGTGAGCATGCCACTGCACTCCAGCCTGGGCGACAGAGTGAGACTCTGACTCAAAAAAAAAAAAAGACCACAGAGGCAAAGTGCCATTTTCATCACATTATATCTGGGATACTTGCTGTCAACATGGCTTATTACTGTTGATGTTAACTTTCATCACCTGGCTGAGATAATGTTTTTAGGTTTTCTCTGCTGTAAAGTTTTCTTTTCATTCCCAACTTTTCATTCTGTCCTGCTTAGAAGGAAGCCCACACTTAAGGAACATGGAATTATAACCTCTTTGAGGCCTGGGTGTCTATATAAATTATTTTCTTCTGCAAAGATTGATCTTTTCTTCCCCATTTATTTGTTTATTCAATCATTTGTCAATTCTTTCTACTGATTCTGAAAGCTGGTAACATGACTAGCTTCTTCACTTTTGTCAAAAGCAAAGCATTGGAAGTTTCCTGACTTGTAAAAGAGCTCCTCAACATGTATCAAACAATTATTGATTATGCTGATTACTCATACTTTAAATATCTTGTTCAATATATTAGAAAGGATTGGGAAAATAGATATTGATTTCAGCACAGCTTGCCTGCATATTTTTTCAATGATAAAAAAAATTGTGACTTTCCTTTTAAATTCAAATAGATGTGTTGATATACTTCACTTTGACAACCATAATGCCTCTGAATTCTAATTTTCATAGATATAATAGGTGTAGAGCCTTGCCATAGTTTATTACCTCTCTGAAATAAGGAACATGATTCCTAAGTTTTCTGCTTAACTTAAAAAAAATTTTTAAGAGACAAAACTTGCTGGGTGTGCTGGCACATGCCTGTAGTCCCAGCAACTTGGGGAGGCTGAGAAGGAAGGATTACCCGAGCCTAGGAAGCAAAGACTGCAGTGAGCCATGATTGTGCCACTGTACTTCAGCCTGGGTGACAGAGTAAAACCCTGGCTCAAAATAATAATAATAATAATAATAGTAAAACAGAAAAAGAAAGAAAGAAAGAAACAGCGTTTCACTATCTTGTGCAGACTGGACTTGAACACCTGGGCCCAAGTGATCCTCCTGCCTTAAACTCCCAAGTAGCTGCGATTACAGACATGTGCCACCATGCTCAGTGACTTATCTCTAATGAGACTTTCCCTCAGGGATGATACATCTCTTAACAGAGGATGGAATTAGCTCACTTTAATAAAATATAATTCTAGCAGTCCCAGTCTATACATATCTGAATTTATGATACCCTGTGTAACACATACCAAAATACTCCTTTTTTAAAACATGCTTTTGACAAAATTATGAGACAGGAAAAAGCAAGATCTATGCTTTTAACAAAACTATGAGACATTTAGCATTTTTCTTTTTTTCCCTCTTTTTTTGAGTTGGAGTCTCACTCTGTTGCTCAGGCTGGATGGAGTACAGTGGCACAGTCATGGCTCACTGCAGCCTTTACTTCCTAGTCTCAGGCAGTCCTTCCATCTCAGCCTCCCACTCAGCCACTGCAGCCTCGACCTGCTGGGCTCAGGCGTTCCTTCCACCTCAGCCTTCCAAGTAGTTGGAACTACAGGTGTGAGCTGCCATGCCTGGCTAATTTTTTTACTATCTCACCAAGTTTTCCAAATTGCTGATCTCGAACCCCTGGGCTCAGGCAATCCTCTTGCCTTGGCCTCCCAAAGTGCTAGGATTACAGGCTTCAGCCACTGTGCCTGGCCATTTAACATACTTCTATTTTCGCATCCCTCATACCCCTTCCACACAATTAATTGTAGGTAATGATTCATACCTTTAATTTTACTTATATGTATTACTTGATTTTTCAACATCAAATTTTATGTTGACATTCTGGTATAAAAGAAAAGAAAATCAGCATACTTGATGTTCCATTTTTTTCTTTGCCTTTTCCTTCTGTCTTTTAAAATGTGTTTCCT